CAGCATCTGTTAACTGAAATATGTCAATTGGTATACCATCTATTCCTGGAGCCTTATTTTTTGCCATTTCCTTCAAAGCAGCCTGAACTTCTTCTTTCATTACCATAGGCTCTTGCTCATATGTTGTTTCATGAAATTCTTCTGTGTCTTCTAATTCTTTTCGATACAGTGACTCAGTATATTCCTTCCATCTTCCATCGATTCCTGGAGCCTTATTTTTTTGCCAATGCCTTTAATGCAGCTTCCACTTCCTCTTTCATTACCACTGGCTCCAGTTCATATGGTTCTTCCTGAAATTTTTCAGTGTCAATCAATTTTTTCTGACTCTGTCTATGCCCTCCATCTTATTTTGATGCTTTCTGGGTCATTAAATATATTGCCCATAACATCTTTCAACATTGTGTCATGGGCTTAAATTTGTTTTTCATTTCTTTCAGCTTGAGAAATAGAGTGAGTTCTTCCCTTTTTATTCTCCTATTCCAGCTCTCTGCACATTCCATTGTAATACTTTGCTTTGTCCTCCCAAGTTGCCCTTTGAAATCGTCTGTTCAGCTCTTTCACTTAGACATGTTTTTCCTTTAAGTTTGACTTCTAAACATTCTAGTGCAATACTAAGAGTCCCTTCTGACATCCATTTCAATTTTTTCTTTCTCCTCTGTTTTTGTAATGATCTTTTGCTTTCTTCATGGAAATATCCTTGATATTATCCCACAACTCATCTAGTCTTCTATCATTGGTACCTCAAATCTATTCCTAAGATTACCATGGAATTCAGATGGAATTGATTCAAGATCATATCTTGGTTCTTGTGGACTTATTTTAATTTTCTTCAGCCTTAATTGGAACTTACAAATGAGTAATTGATGATCTGACTCACAATCTGCCCCGGCCTAGTTTTGACTGTTGATGTTGAGTGTCTCCAATGATCTCTTCCACAAATATAGTCAATCTGATTCTGATGCAGCTCATCAGATGAAATACAAGTGTAAAGTCATCTTTTGTGTCTTTTAGAAAAAGTATTTGCAATGAATAAATCATTGTAAATACAAAATTCAATCATTCCATTTCCAGCTTCATTTCTGTCACCAAGCCCATATTTTCCAACTACTGTTCTTTCTTCATGGTTTCCTACTTTTGTATTCTAGTCACCAATTATTATTAACACATCCTGATTGCACATTGGGTCAATTTCAGATTGTAAAATTTGGTAAGAATTCTCAATTTCTTCCTTTTTTGGCACCAGGTGTAGGAGTATATACTTGAATAATAGTCATGTTAACAGATCTTCCTTGTATGTGTATGGATATTATCTTATCACTCACGATATTGTATTTCAGTATAGAACTTTAAATTGACTTTTTGACTATAAATGCAATATCATTCTTCTTCTGTTTTTCATTCCTTGCATAGTATACCATATGATTATCTGATTCAAAGTGACCATAGCTGGTCCACTGCAACTCACTAATGCCTAGTATGTTGATGTTCATGTGTTCCATTTAATTTTTAACCATTTCCAGTTTCCCTACATTCAAGCTACATACATTCCATCTACCAATTGTTAAGTGATATTTGTTATTTATTTTCCTCATTTCAATTGACTTCCAATCTGTGCTCTACCACTATACTA